ATTTCATCCGCTAGGATGAACGATCCCTAATGCCTCCCTCATGGAGTTTTGACTCTGCTGTCGACGAAAACATAGTAACATTAGACACAAAACAGGGTGTTCATATATAAGATGACATCGCCAAAATAAGACGGTGAATGATAACCAATGGTTACTCAAAGATCTTTGGTACAAGATGTCAGAATATTTCTGTATCAAAGATCTTGAGCCGTACAAGCCATTTTACAGTCAAGATCTTGGATACAAGATAACTTTTAGGATTTTGTACGCAAGATCATAGGCAAGATCTTAGGAACAAAAATATCTTGACATCTAGTATCGCCAAGCTTTTTTCGAAAAAATCTAAGATGTCAAGATCTTGGTTCCTGGATGTTCGACTAGAGTAGGAATTAATGCTGGACTCTTCGCTGTTCGAAGCGGTCATTACTAATATCCATTTCTATGGTTATAACGGAAACCAGTTTCCATCGAAAATTTTTGCTTCTCGATGCGCTGAACTTTTGACAGTAACTTTCAAATATTATGTGCACTTTAAAACAAGACTAGGAGCTGATGAAGTTTTTTCATTCAGGATCTGCAAAAATCAGCCAATAGCTGTTCAGTAGCTAGTAAATTAGTTAAGGAACGGATTTAGAATCTCAGAGTCGAGGGACTAATATATTGCAATCGGACTAACAGATAAACAGTTATAGGCTGACATTCTGAACAGTGATTCCTTATATAACTAGGAGAATGAAACCACCCATTGGGAGGACTAAGTTAGATCTAATATAAAAGTGATATTTCTTGCAGGGATCACTGTGTGGAATCAATCGTGAAAAATATCATTAAAATGAATCATCTGTACGGCAATGAATATATCGACATTTCAATTGTACTCGATGCACATCTTCCCTGTTCGCCTGCAGAATTCGAGATAACTCACAGGGTGCATGATAATTTACCTAGAGAACAAGATCAAATAACATTAGAAAATCTAGCTTACGAACAAATGCGTGAGAAGAGTGTCTATTCAAATTATTTTCACGAATTGATAATGAAAGATGAGTATTTATTTCAACAATATTACCACGATCAGCTATTACTGTTTCTTGAAGAATACAAAGTTCAATTATCCGTTGAATTTGTCCTTGATCTTTTAAACAATAATTCTGTAAAATCAACTATCGAACGAATTAAATACTATTTAGTGAATCAAAGCGAACTGCTGGAATTATTACGAATATTCGAGCAAGGTGTTTATGCACTTTCCCGTGCCAGACAGGGAGCACTATTAACAATAATTAACAGTGGAATAAAAAGAGTGGAGGATGGCTCCTGTCTTACACTCAAAACGGACAATTTATATCTATTAGTGTTAAAAGAGGGCTCATTTTATCAAATACCGCCCAACACTATTGTCAAAAATGTAAACGAGTTAACAGAGAAATTTGAGTGCACATGTGATACATTCATTGAAAATAGCTTGATGAATCTCGTTCAACTGACGGTATCGTCCGAACTTCTTGAAACGATAGAAAATATTCCCAACATATTAATCATTTTCAATCGAATCAGTCAAGGAATACTAAACCTCGAACAGTACACAGTGAGTAATTTAGAAGTATTGCAACCACTGATTAGTTTATTGCAATGCATTGAAACACTATACAATGATCCCTTACAAATATTCAAAAATGTCCTCCAGTATATGAGAATAAACGGTTTGCAAGAATGTCGATTGATTCATCGCATGATCGATCACATGAAATCGCTCAACAGTTTCAAAACAAATTTGACTAAAGATGTTATCAGCAAAACGTTGTCGAAACTCGAAGTAGAACTGCTGCTTAACTGGTTATACGATAACAGCGACAACTATTACCATCTCTTAGAAATTATTAATGACAGCGATGATCTATGGAAATATTCAGCAAAATTATTTACTTATCTAGAAACAAAATTAAATTTAGTCGCATGTGTCGAAAAAAGTTGTGGACAAATTGAAGTGAGCGATGAGTATGCTAAGTTAAATCAATACCTTCAACAACTGAATAACAAATCAATGAAAATTGAAAGAATACTGTCAAATCGCATACATTTGAAGCTAATATTCAATACAGGAAAAGACAAGATTGAGAATACTTTGAGCAAGACTTACAACCAATTTCAACAGAATTTGAAACAGGTGAATACAGTTCATGTGAGAGGAGAGCGTATAAAGTTGTTTAGTCTACTCTCATGGTCAAAGTATTATGCTCAAATGTATGCATATGCATTAAAGAACGATTCCAAACAGAACATAATGAGAGATATAGATCGGCTATTGTCACAAGACGATTCATCAGTCTGTTCATCGATTAAAGTTTACATAGTTAAACAATTGATGTACTTTGAAAATAAGACCTTGGCTGAACTGAAATGAACTATAATAATCGTAACATTGTATGGTTGAAACCAATAATAATGCAGCAAAGCGGAGAAAAACAAAACGATAATCACGATATAATATCACCGATACCATTGTTTGAATGCAGACAAGAATACCTGAATGTGAGTAGAGTTTTCAAAGAAACAAAAGGTATTGAGGAATTGAAAAACTTAATCAACCAATGTAACGGAAATTTGCAGCTGACATATAGCTTTTATTTGTGGTTTATTCAATATTATTCTCGTTTCCATATCGTAACAAGCTCTTCGATCGATGTCACATTTCTTCAGCTTATTGAAAACGAACTACAACAACAGTTATTTATACATTTTGAGTCGATCGGTTATCAGTTTATCCTTTCTCTCTGCAGGAACTTCGAAAACAATTCATATTTTCAACTGAGACCTAATATGTCAAGTACAGAAGTCCATCTTCGTTTTATTGCATTGAATATCTATGCCTTACTTCTGTCATCAAAGTCTGCAAGAAACTCAACATACATCAACAGCTTACTGTACTCGCCTAATAGAAAGATGCCCGCTGATTATCATGCGCATATGATGAAAAGATGTCTCCCTGGATTAAATCCAAATGATAGTGCTATCGTAACTCAGATGCAACGAGTTAAAAAAGCAGTGCAAGAACGGTTAAATAAAAAACAGATTATGACTGAAGGGAAATTTATTTATCAATGTTCAAAAAAGTGCTACTTCATGTATTATTTTGAAGACTGTGGTATGCCCAGAGACCGTTCCTTGTGCCCGTTGTGCAAATCTCAAATCGGCTCAGCACAACCATACGTTCTAATTCAGAGAAATCCTCCACAAATTCAATGGAAATGTTCAAATATCAGGACAGCACTTGTCAATTATCTTCCTCTAAGCGCTTAGCATAAATCAAGTTCTATAACTAATGGCTTTATTTTTAACAATTTTATTGTTGAAAATTTACCTCCTTTGAGTGATGACGTGATTTTTTAATGTCAACAAATGTCAATTGAAGAAGGCTTTCGAGCAATTGATCAATATATTGCGAAATATGATCAGAGAAATCGATATGGATATTGCGTTCAACCTGTTAAAACGGAACATTCTGCTGCAGGTGATACCGTCGATCACTTAAACCCAATAACATTTCGGTTATTGCATATGTTTACACATGTGATGATGATGATGCTGTACCAGTTCAAATATATTGAGCAAAACGAAAATCAGTTATCTTACTTTACCGCTCACTACGAAAAAGATTGCAGATTAATCGGAGATATCATCAGTTCACCAGATGATTATCCTGTCTGGTTGTACAAAATTGTTAATCATATGATGAACGCAAATATACATATCAGTGGCATTCTAGATACGAACCAGAACGTTGTACAATTTGAGAAACATATTGAACAGACACTAGTTTTCAAGCATATTCAATCAATTTCCAACGAAATAAAACAATATAAAGTAGCATTCATCGACTTTGTCCGCAAAGAAAATGCCGAGCCAATTTTTAATGATTTTGTTAACGAATTAGCCGAGAACGAAGAAAAGTATACATTGTTAAACTTTTTCTCTGTCACAAAAATTAACAATGCAACTCTTGATGAATTTCGTTCGACGTTTCAGTTACTACCATACGCGCGAAATTTATATCCGCTGACTGATTATATTTTGCAACATTTACCTGAAATCGAAAATCTATCATTGTTGTTTCCTCTTGTTCAGTTTTGTAATCTGCTACTAGACAAATTTAATCACCGCATATCACGTGACGATGCAGCAACCAACGACATTGGTTTTTATCTAACGAACAATCAAGATAATATATTGTCTTTAGCATTTGAACAGTTTCGTACTGCTTGGTATCAATTAACGTTGAAAGAAGTACAATATAATTGTCAATCGCGTAAACCTGACCGCGAAGGATCCATTGAAAGTTTTTCAAAAAACGTTAAATTAGCTTTTTTTCTATTAAACACATCGAAAGATGATAGTAGTATATGTTTACTCGGCTGTTTTCAAACGTTAGCGAAACTTCAGAACGTCATTGTCAATTATTTTCGACAGATTAATGAACCAATGACTGAAATAATTGAAAATGAGAAGAAACGTCCTACATTGGTACAGAAAATTAAACCAGAACATACACTCAATTTGAATGTACGAGAATTCATCTCAATATTAGACCGAGATGGCTTCATGGTTAATCATGAATATGGTAAGTCCAAAGAGGTTCTGTACGATTTTGACCAAATTGAAAGTAGATTGAGATTTATTATCGGAAAAATACGACTGATTGATCCAGATAAATTTATTTTCTTTAATTTAGTTCTATGCCACATGTACGTCCACAACCTAACAAAGGCATATGCGACATCTTCCATATTGTTAAGCTTATGTGGTAATCTTCTTTTGAACCCCAATTGGTGAACTACTGCTGAATATAAGCTCTAAATGGTTAATATTGGCAGAAAAGCATATGATTCTATGCAATTTTCCACGTTTTTATTTTCACCCTCATAGTCTGGACGTTATTGCAGTACAATCGCTTATCAATTTGAATTGTACAATCAAGATGTCTCTTTGTTCAACGATATACGCCGATATATTAAACAACAATCATTATCAAATAACGATAAAACAAAGTTGAGCACATTGTTGTCAAACGCAAAAGCGGATGAGATTCGAAAATATCTGGGTTCATTAGACTATGTATTTACCTATCCGAGAAATGCGCGAGATAGCGATAATACTTGGACAATACGAACATTTGTCGAAAATGTTGTGAATAATAAGGCGCATCTACATGAATATGTTACAAGTCAAGAACCATTTGCCAGTATACACCTGAAATATGTGATTAGCTTGTACGAGCTTGTCGAAGAGTTAGTATTCAACGAAGTAATGAGCAATTACGTTAAACAAGAAATGACAAGTGAAGCATGTGCTTCGGAAGAAGAGAAGTTAAGTATAATCGATCAGTTTGTTCAATCAACATATGCTAATGCGACTACACCACAGGCATTGAAAGATTCTAGTGTGTGGATGTCAGTACTGAAACGTATCATTATTCGCGTTATAGCAGCTAATGTCGATTTGAATGTGCCCTTACAAATTTATCTTGAACGAACTGATATGTGGAGTGAAGACAGTGTGGAGACATATCCCGATCGGGATGTACTCCCAATCGAGATATATATCCCGATTGGGATATCATTTTTTGTAGCAAAATTTTTTTTATATCCCGAATGGGATATAGTTTGAAATTATATCCCGATCAGGATATAATTCGATATCCCGATTGGGATATCAAGAAAATCTATATCC